TCTCTCACGGATGGGAATGAATAATTATCCCAACTCTGTGAATCAGAGAGGGGCGGGGGCGTGATTTATTCATGCGTTTGTTATTTTATTGAGGCTGCGCTCCATAATGGAGCCGTAACGAATGAGATGAATGCTGACGGCTTAAAGAAACACCGAGTGTGAGATGAAAGGAGAGGGGAGGCCGCCTGTCAGGACTGATTGAGTCAAACGCGGTGATGGAAAGAGGAGATGGATGTTACAGTTTTGTCTCTTTTGTATTGCAGTCAGACAGCACCGCGGAGAAATGTGAACGTGAGGACAGACTTTGAGAGATACAGGCCTGTAATGTAAACAGGATTTTTTTTTTTAAATGACTTATTATTACCCTCAGAGCCTGACGCTATTCGGTTTAGTCATTTCTAACACCTGAAAAGAATATATAAGGGAGTTGACATGTGGCGTTAATGATTTTGAACTGTTCCGTCCATTTTCTGATGTCTGATTTGTCGCTATAGCAACATGAGAGTGAAAAATAATCAAGTGATAGCTGTTAACAGTGGGAGTTTTTGTCCAGACTACTTTCAAATTCCACAAATTGCCTCTTCGAATTTCACTTTTCCTTTGAAAAATAAAAAATAAAACGCGCCAACAGCCAAACCCCGAGAACAAATAAAATGAAAAGGTAAAAAAAAGTCTGGCTGATGACTTTTGATGTTAGAAATCTCTATGAGAACTGTTGGTGGCATTAAATCTCCGTCTGGTTTGTCTGTTAGCTTAATCAAGTTGTTTTTACGTTATGCAAAACGTGGGAAATATGGCAGTCTGTGCACGGGTGCAGCTATTAATCGATCTTTGGTTGTGTTAGGAGTTGTTGTTAAGTGTTGAGCAGCTTTTAGCCCATTTGCAGGGTGTGTGTTGCTTTGAGATACCTCAACACTTTGCGTTTATTCACATTTATTCGCATTTATTCACATTTCTACAAGCCTGTTAGCATTGTGTTAAAATTGGGCTATCTTTACTCACTTTAGAATTTTATGCTATCAGATAATTGTTTTATTCTTACTAGAATAATATACTCCTGTGTTAAAGTCTCTGGGTGTGCTCTATATTTTTCTTTTACCTTTGACCTGAATAAATTCCATATTTTTACTCTTGATCCGTGATTTATTTTCAGGCTTCCAACAAAAGAATCGGGCTAACAATTGTAATAACACCTGTAATTATCATGCAATAACCAGATTAAATTAAAATTCTAATATCAGGCAATGATGTATTTTCATTATGTGAAATATTTCTTCAAATGTGGTGAAACGAGAGGCAATACCAAAATTAATTTCTACACATTTTCTTGTGTTTTCAAGTTTAGTGCAGCCTAAAACGAGGCGTGATGGAATAAAGGCCTATTTTCAGCTGCGTTCAGTAACTCAGTCTGGGTTTCAAAAGGGCCTTGAGAATAGTCCCCTATATATCCTCGGATATGGCTTACCCAGCGTTCTGGCGAAAATTCGTCCCGTTTCATCCGAGTTTCATCTTCATGGCTCCTCTGGGACGTTTAGATTTACTTTTTTTCATGCCACTTAAGAGCCCTCTGCGCCTTTTACTATTCCCCCGCCAGATTTCTATTGTGGAGATTTTTTTCTTCTCCCGCCGTCTCTTCGACTTTTTCTCTGACATCAGCGGGAACAGAGATCCATGTTCACCGTTCGGTAAAGTCCCAATGATGAAAAGGGAAGCAGTTGGCTTACCTCCCGAGGGAATGCATGGATGATCACACCCCATGACTAACGCTGACCTGTATTGATCACAGTGGAGACGAAACCTTTTAGCGCGGTCTAACCGAAGGGAGGCCCGTTGAAATCCGGAGAGTGGCCGCTTCTGCTGCGGAGAGACTGTTTTGCGAGATATCATTATGGTCCGGCCTCCCTGTTGACAGCTCTTAGAATCAGGAGGCTTTTTTTTCTCTCTGCTTCACTGAGTCATATTCAGATGGAGAAGAGGGCGGACAAAAGCCTGTGCTTGATTTGTGCATGTTCCTCAGCCTGTTAGCATCATACACAAACACACACAGATTCCTCATTTCTGAAGACTCTTGCTGCCGGAAAACGCATTCCAAATTTCAGTTTTATTTAGTTTAGATTGAATCGAATCACGCGGGCGAGCGCACAGATGAATTAGCCTCAGCGATCGATCTCCACCGGGAGATTTCGCGATATCTCTTCTCCTGTGGTTTCAAAAGTTACCAGCTGTGATAAACAGCTTTTTGCATACTTCCAAAGAGCAAACACTTTAGTTTTGATAAAGACGCACAATTCAACGCAAGTGTTTGCGAAGGATTCTGCTTCAAGGAGCCGTGGACAGACTATGGAGATGGAATCAAGATGGAGTCTTTATAAGCCTTCACCTGGAAGCTGTCCGCATTGTGACGGATCACAATGGTTTTCCTAAAAGCCGCAGAGTTACGAGATACATCGGATGATGTGCACGGAGGTTGCAGGAGCCACAATAATGCATCATAACAGCAAACCAAGCAAAATGGAGTCATGACTCAACATAAATGCTGCTCTGGCGACATGTTTTACATATAAAAAATGGCACATCGCAGTTTTTTCTTGGCTCATTTTGATATCATCAGATAAAAATAAAAAATTAAAACATACTTGTACATCAAAATTGGGTCATGTGGAAAAATGGAACTATATAGATAGATACGCCAACAATACTTTAGTAAGTAGGAATATAAACTGAAAAGAAAGCAAAAACTTCCATCAACCAACCTTAATTAGATTGAGAGTTATGAAAACGTACAAGTGGTTTGGAAAAGCTTGTGTGAAGGGCATGCCTGCCTTGAGCAGCAGCTATTCAGAAGAAATCAAAGGATGTAACAGATCTGGATCCTGACTATATCCTCAGTGTTGCTGACCAAAGAAAATATAAATATAACTGTCTTACAGGTTTTCTGCAGCTTTACTTTTCAGCTGTAATCTGCCATTTTTTCCTCCCACTTCTTTCTTACTAGTGACATCAACATGAAAAAAACTACTGGTGGCTTTAGTTTTTCTCTTGGCCATCTGACATCCGATATACCGCCTATCTCCCTCTTTTCAAAACAAAACTCAAAACTCACCTGTCCTGTACTCTAACATTCCCCTCATTCTGCACAGTTTTATTAATTTGCACTTTTATATATATTCATTTCTGATGTTTTAAATACATTTGTCGTATGTTTCTTAAGTTTTCATGTCGTCTTGATGATGATGGTCTCTGTAAAGTGTCCTTGAATGGCATGAAAGGCACTTTAAAAAAAAAAAAAGTTTTATTAATATTATTATTTCATAGAAACGTTACTCAATGCAAACGGTGGGATTTATTTGCGGCTACAGCGTTTTTAAAGATCGTTTCTGTCCAAAATCGCCGAAAAAGGAGCAGTTGGCGTATTTGTAAGAGCAAAGCTCTTCAGAAGAAGATGACAGGGCCTCTATCTGTCGTGTCAGCGCTTCTGTACTCTCAGAGGACCATAACCCTCTGCCAAGAGAGGAAGAACACGGGTTTAGAGTCGTAAACAGAAAACGACTTTCTTAAAAATGTGAATTTAATAATGTTAAAAACCACTGACCATTGTTTTCAGCCAGTCAAACCTTAAAATAAGAATGAGGGAAAGGCGGAAAGAGCTCGATTCATGTCTAAGAAAGCAAAACTCTAATTCAGTGCCAGAAAACCTCGTCTGGTAAGGACACAGCGGACCTAATTACGCTCATCAAAGGATGCTTTCCTCTGTGGAGAGACTCAGTTATACGCGTCCAAACATTCATTGTCAAGATAGCGCTCAGAAGTGGCACTTATTCAACATTTGACAACAAAATTTGTTGATGTAATATTAACGGTTTAATCAGTTAGCTGTCAGCTGTGTCCTGAAGAGTGTGTTTACAGATGGTGTGAATTAATTAGATTTCAAATGTTGTGAAGAGACTTTTTTTTAATGGATGAATGCTTTTACATTCCGGTTACATGCGTTTTACCACCAACAACACAACCAGACAGCAACTCTGAGATGTGAAAAAAAAAAAAGGTTTATGATTGGGTTAATTCATTTTGACAGTTAATTCCAACCTTGTGGCTGTTGAGAAGGATTTTCATGTTGACTCATGCAGGTGGGGAAACAAAAGAGGAAGTTTAATTCACGCATTACATCGCACTGGGTGAGATTGTTGTAATTTATGATTCAGCAGAACTGTTAATTATGCATGGAGGGCTCCGGCATCATTATGTAGAATTAGCCAGACAAAAGCATCACGGCAAAAAAAATGGAAGCAAACAGACAGAAGAAAGAAATGGAGTCGACACCCGGTCTCTTTTCTCATAACATTGTTTATTTTTAGTTTTATCGGCTTCATACAGAGAAACTGCTGCTGAAAATCTACAATAGTATACAGGAGGCGTACTGCCGCCGTCTGAGGGAGTTTTTTTGGCGTAGAATCGTCGTTTGGTTCGAGCCAGAAGCTACAGTTTGTTCCTGTTGTCCACACAGAGTCTTTACTGTACATATATACAGTGATTTATAATGAAAACCGATCAATAAGACCACATGGTTTTCAGATCCTCCACAGTTGTCTTGTTCAAAACCATGCAACACACACCTTTTCTCTGTGATCAGGACCGCTATCACGAACTTGAATTCCATATCTTAACTCCTCTGATGAGTTCCTTAAGTGAATCAGTGCTATTGTTTTGCAGGTTATTTTTGGCAGAACCAGAAGAAGTTAGATCAAATCTGACAGATGGTTTTACTGTCCAGCCTCTACAGGTATGAACACTCGCTCACTGTTATCAACCCATACAGAGACGTCTTGCTTTAATAGAGGGAAGTAGCTTAACACTTTATGTTTTTTTTGTAGTGTGTGAGCATTCTGCCTCTTAAATGTTTGCCGTTCGAAGAGTGTGTTCTTTTCCCTTTGATCCAAAAACAAAAAAAAGTACTGGCACAGCCCCCTTGCATCTGTCGCTAGTCTCTTTTCCAAAGGCATTCACAGCCGTTCGATGTCCCTGTATTTCTTCCTCAGGATGGAAACCTGGTCTCTGAACAGCACCGGGTCCAGCCTCATCTGGGAGTGCACTAGTGGCATGAAACCCAGCCACTTAGTGAAGGTGTTCATACAGGTCTGTCGCTGGGAAAAGTGGTCGGGGTCGGCCCAACGAGATGACTTGGAGCCCTTAGGTTGGAGAAATAAAGAAAGGGAGAGATTTCACGTTTTGAGAGTGACTGAAGAATCAATAAAAATACATTATGTAGTTAACAAGCATGTTTCAAGTACAGATTTGGTAGAGCAGTATGACTATAGCCTCAATTAGATCTGAGAAACCTATATCATGAGAACCTCCTTTCAAACCCAAATGAAACTCTGGATAAGAAACTGTGTGAAATATCACTCTCGTATGTGAGATAACACTCTATTACGTGGCATAACGCTTTTGTTTGCGGTATAACACTCATATGTTGTATAACACTCATATGTGGTATAACACTAATATGTGGCATAACACATCCTCATATGTGAGATAACACTCTCGTATGTAGCATAACACTCTCATATGTGGCATAACACTTTCGTATGGGTATAACGCTCTTATATGTGGCATAGCACTCTCGTATGTGGCATAACTCTGGTATGTGGGATGACACTCTCGTTTGTGGCATAGCACTCTCATATGGGACATAACACTCTGGTATGTGGCATAACACTCTCATATGTGGCATAACACTCTCATATATGGCATAACACTGGTATGTGGCATAACACTCTCATATGTGGCATAACACTTTCATATGGGTATAACACTCACATACAGTATATGGCATAGCACTCACATATATAGCATAACACTCTCATATGTAGCATAACACTCTCACATGTTGCATAGCACTCACATATATAGAACAACACTCTCATATGTAGCATAACACTCTCGTATGTGGCATAACACTCTCACATGTGGCATAGCACTCACATATATAGAACAACACTGTCATATGTAGCATAACACTCTCGTATGTGGCATAGCACTCTCAGTTGTTGGATGACGCTCTCGTTTGTGGCATAGCGCTCTCATATGGGACATAACTCTCTTGTCTGAGTGGCATAACACTCTCGTATGAGGTTTGATCCTTATAATCATAGCTCAAAAGGTGTCCACGCATACTGAAGTCTGACCTCCATCCGCAAAATGCTCCAAATGAGGACAGATTCCGTACTTAATGTGAGTTTATGACAGTAAATGTAATCAACGCATAAATAAATGCCTTTCGCTAATATCCGCGGCGACGTGACGCAGCTCTCTTCCAGGCTCACACAGATGCCCGTCCCTCTCTGTGGCTCCATGATTACTCTTTCACACAATCAGCCCCTGCTGCTTTGGTGCCTCACCTGCTTATCTTAGATGGGCAGCAGCCAGAGGGGACGGAGGTTGAGCCCCCGGGCGGCTGCAGGGAGATGAGTTGGAGATGGAGTGGCTAAGGGCAAGGTTGAGGGCAGCAGACCCCTTTGATAAGCTTTGGCATCGGGGTTCGGGGATTGATCTTACGGCAGCTGAGGCCGCTGGAGGTCGGGCAGGTAATTAAACTACGACAAATCGAGTGACATGAGCAGTTTTGCTTTTGATGGCACGCCGCTCCTTTGAAATCGAAAAGCCCAGACAACGACAAAAAGACGGCCATCAACGGCCATCGCTCTGTTTTTAATTCATTCAAAAGCCGAATCGCCACAGAAAGATTTTCAGCTCCTTCCCCTTCTTTTCTGCGAAATATTCCTCTCTGCTGTCGCTCGGAGCGCAGTCACAAATCAGGGGCAAGAAAGGGGGGAGGCAGGAAAAGAGAAGGGAGTGAAGGCGGGGGGTAAATCTAGGTTTGCTGTGCTGCCTTCACAATTAAGACATTAATCACTGAGTCCATACTGCCGAGTCATCGTCCTGCCTGTGGTCAGGCTATCAATCAGAAACTGACATAAGGTTGGCCACGTGGACACACACGAGCACACACACACACACACACGCACACACAGGAGCACAAACTACATGCAGAAATCTCTCCGAGAAAAGGTCATGGGGTCTTTAGCTTGAAACTTTCCCACTAAAATTGAAAAGAGGCAGGTATTTGATGTTAATCCACTTTTCTAAAAATGGACTTCCAAATAATCCATCTTCTATAAATGTTCACTCTTCACTCTTTAACTGTACACCTACTGTCTAACGCTCTGGAGGTTGGGATGGGAGAAAGTCTTTAGAAATGTTAGTGCTAACCCTGATTCTAACCCTAACCCAATGCCATTTTCATTAACCATTAACTCCATAAACTCTTAGAAGATGATTTCAACATAATAATATGACCATGCCAAGAACCCTTACTTCCTGACAAGAGGAAGAGATGAGAACCCCGACATCTTTCTGACCAAGTCATCCATAACAAATTCGTTTGGCTCACAGAATTGGATTTGATTTCTGATTTTGTCTGCTGAAAAATCATCTGGATCTTTAGAATCAGTCTCCGTGCTGCCCTGGGGCTGCAATCAGTTACCCCATCACCCCACTTTGCCACATGGTCAGCCATGGCAAGCCTGGCCGTGTCCGACATCGCTCCGAAATCCAGCCGGCTGCCATTCCCGATCTACGTTTCGCTTGAATTCCACAGTGATGAATGCATACATGTGCCTGCTGCTCAGTGGGTGATGTACAGGGTTTTCCACACGTAAAAACTCCAGTAGTTATTATGAATTCCCCATTTGTAGTCTAACTATTAGAATGCGTTAACACTACTGTTATTGAAGTTCTAAGGACTAAGGACTAAGGACTTCTAAGGACTTGAGAATGAGAGAAAATACCCAGTAGACCCATGGGGGGAACAGACATTAAATAAGGATGACCCTAAACGTAAGAGTCTGCGTTACCTGGGACATCATAGTTTCCTTGTACTGCTTCTTCTGCGTGACTTTGATTGGCGGCTGTTTGGTGACGGCCGACACCAGGAAGTTCATCAGGATGTCTTCGCAGTTGGCCATGCGGTCCACCGCGGTCAGCAGGCTGGCCGGGACGTAGTGAGTGAACAGGTAGTGGTAGTATCTGATGGACAGAAAGAGAAAGTGCGCTCAACGGCCTCCATCCCGATCCCCTTTCTCCTCTGTATGGTTGTTGTGTTGCTCCCATGCTGCTACTAGATCACTGTCAGGTCTATTACCTCCCTCCCAAGGTCTGCCGTCTTACACACCAACACACACACACACACACACACACACACACACACACATATACACGATGCGCTCACCTTCTACAAGTCATATTTCCCGGATTTTTTTTCTCTTTCGGCATTTGAGTGTCTACATAACAGAGGGCTTAAGAGGTGTATTCAGCAGCCTAACAATGGAACAAGAAAGCCGTTTGTCTGCGTGACAAAGATCCTAACCGGAACACTTTCCCGGGTTCAATTTACCACTCTTGCTTTATACTTGATTCGCTCATTTCTTATCTCAGTTGTCGCATTTTCGGTGGACTTTTTTTGTTCACTTTATGAGAGGAAAAAGTCGTAGAGAAAGCTCATATTGTCCCGTTTCCCTTTTTCTATTACATTTGTGAAAAGTAATGAAGGGAATGGAACTGGTGAGAGATGATTTTGAATGGGAGCTGGAGCTTTTAAGAAAGGAGAAGGTTTTTTTGTAACACGTCAACATGAGGAAATCTGCTCTGTAAGGCAAAACTACCGACTGTGATCATGCACAAAGTTATTAGGCAGCACTCTAAAAAAGCCAGTTTGGACAAAAATGTCTCAGCAGGTGAGCCTGCATTCTTACCAACCAGCCTTAAAGAAAACCATAATTAATTCAATTTTAATGGCAAACCAGCGAACAGCACGAGCAGCTCGGCCTGCTTATTAAAATTCTCAGCATCTTCTTTTCTTGGATCACCTCCTTTGGTGAGTCAGTTCAGTGACAGAATTTGACCATATGCCCACAAAACCAAACTTTTTGTGAGTATTTTAGGGCTGTTTTTACCTCTAGAAAATTAAAACTCTGGCAGACAAATGAATAATACAGAAAAAAAAGACTTGCTAATCCCTGTTAGTATTTTTAGAGTGCATAAAACACAAGCAATATGTTTCTCCAAACAAATTATGGATAAACTAATATTCAAATGAAATAATCATGTTTTTCATGTCCATATTGAAAACAAATCTTTTTATTCTGAACTGTCTTTTGAGGCCAAATCATAGCTGTATGACGATTTAGAATAAAATGAGCTGGATTTGTAATACCTTTCTTTGTTCATCAGAGAAGGTCTGGATTTGAAATCCTGTAAATATAAAAGGTTACTGACCAGCAACAAAGGTGGTTTGTACCTGTGGTAGAAAGCAGCTCCTGTTAAGACCATGGAGTAGTCATTGGTCCACTTTGAAGTGTAGCCCCAGCGGGACCTGGAGCTGTCCCAGTAGTGGCTCCTAGCCGGATAACCGACAATCCGCTCTGGAAAACTTTGCCAAACGATAAAGGCAAAATCCACCTGTTTAAACAGAGAGAAGGCCAGAATGAAAAAGAAGAATCATCTCTTCTAATAGCAATTTACAGCATTCACTAAAAGCAGGATACATATATTGATGCGTATATTAATAACTCTGCTTCTATTACTGTCAAATTGCTTGGATTTAATTGGCTGCGATGTGAGACTTCACCACTAGGTGTCCCCAAATCTCACAAATTGGACTTTTCCCGCTTATTTTTAGTATTAACTGCAGACATTCATAGTTAACCACGTTTGTAAGAAACTTCCTGAATGTAAAATAACAAATAACACACAAAGTTAGGAAATGTTTAGTGAAAGAAATCCCTTAAAAAAGCAGTTGCCTTCGAAAAATATTCAGTGAAGAGCACATTTGCATTTTCATTAATTTTGTCAATAAAAAATGTTTTTATGTCACTGGTACTTTCAGTCTGTGGTGAGTGGCATTTGCCACCTTTAATGTAACCGGATTGGACCAGGTCTCGTTCTCCATTTTCCTCCCTTACTGCCAACTTCCCCAATAAAGAAAAAAAAAAGCTGGTGTGGAATTGTCTGGAGCACCTGGTGTCCTTGAAGAAGCCTGAGCTACATGACAAAGACCCTCTTCTGAATTCAAAAACAGCACTGAGACATGCAGGCAGACACACCGGAGAATAAGGGGGGGATCAGCTACATAATGAAATACTTGGTTATACACACACAGACACACACACACACCACCTCAAGAACCCAGACAGAAAATTAATTACCAGAATAGCGCAGAGATGAAGGGGCTGAAGGAGGGGGAGAGCAGCCAAAGTGGATATTCTTTACTGATAGCTCCTGGCTTCTGTCATGAATAGTGTGAGCAATTACTGTAAAGCAGCAGCGAAAGGTTGCAGCTGCCATTCTCAGTGTCCCCCCCCCCCCCCCGATTGGCTGACACGCAGGTGTCTCCATGTTTTCCGTGCGGGAAAATGCGATTTTGCCATAGGAGATTAAAAGGTGAAATAGCACACGTGCGAGTGACAGAACACAGATCGTAGCACTGATCGCCTGTCCCACCTAATTAGGGTTTAAACAGATCCGTTTAAGTTGGAGGGGTTAAGCTAATCGCGCCATTTTTTTTTGCCTTAAGAAAACCACTGATCGGTGAGGCTAATTCGGAGAAAAAAGGGGCTCCAGTCTGATGGGAGGCCCCTTCAATTAATCTGCTCAAATATTCGATTATGAGGTTTCAAATAACTTCATTCTGTCTTTTCAGAGCACCGGAAGATTTTTGGGAATTGTCGCTCTCCGTGATGGAAACAGAAATGTGTGTGCTATACGTGCTAATGGATGCTACAAGGCCAGCATCGATCTGCAGATCAGGAGGTCAATCCGGCCCTTTCTGTTTCAAATCCCTCCTGACATTTTGGGTTTAAGACGTCGTGTGTTATGAGAGGAAGAGGAGCGACAATGTGTTCTACAACCCTGCTCAGTATCGAGTCTTTTCCGATGCCTTTTGAGACTAGAGGTGTCCATCAGTGTTTATTTTTCTCACTGTCAAATGGTCACTGCTTTTGCTTTTGTTCTCCTCCTCCATTTGAATGTGGATGATTTGTGGTGTTAGAGGCCAAAAGGATCTGGTGTCCTACAGTTTGGATGACCCCTGCAGGTTTTTTGTGAGATCAAGCTGTTATATGTCGTAATGTGAATATGAATACGGGACGGGGACGTCTTTATAGGTGTGATTTTCCTTTCGGTGAGACATTTTGTGCAAAGTTTTGAGAAACTGAAAAGAACTTGTACCTGCATTTTATGTAAGGAGCCAAAGTTTTCAGCTGAAAAAGGATTTGAAAAAAGAATATGTAACTTTAAATATGTCCAGAGAGCTCAGTTTTTACTCTAAACTTGGCGTTACCAAGAACGATTCAAACATTTGAAGGTGGTAAAAAATAAGATTACAATTGGAGGTTTTCCACACTTAATTTTCTCTACAGTATGTTGCATGTCCCATGTCCCAATCAGTCGAGATGTAGACAACGCATTTTGCATGATTCACTCTCTCGTTTATGCTTTGAACCAGCAGAAACCGAAGAATCCCGATGTTACTGAAATAGCATACTAGTAGGGGGGCTAAGAAAGATACCTAATGGCTATTTAATTGAAGACAGGCTGTAACACGTACTGCAGAATCCTCAGTATGGCTGCAAATCTGTGGAGAGAAAAGCTCTTATTCTACATCCAGCATGCTGCAAATGCCTTTCAAAAAGGCGTCATGCAGCAGAAAGCATGACCACCTAATGGGATGCATAAGCTCCGTCGGGTTCTTTTGGACGTATTCTTTCCCATAATCTCTCTTCATTGAGTAATCATACATTTAATGAGCCGAAACAATGTAATTAGTGAACTGGCACGGCCGTGTTCCACTGAGGTTATTGTAATATGAAAATTCCTAATAAAAGTGCGATGTTCGCTCATGCACAGTTTTTAGTCACTCGACATATTTCATCTCCTCTCGGTGAGTCCCCGTCACCACGTTAAAAAGGGCAATTACAGCAATGGGGTCAGCAAGTACAGCCAAGATTCCCTTTATGATTTGTCTTTCTTTTTCCTATTCGTTTAATAAAACAAGCAATGTGCCCGTAAAACTCTCCGTAGAAACTTCCTCCTAGAAGCCGTGCCGCCGTAAACTGTAACTGTGATCCTGTTAGTATAGAGAGGGGGGAAAATTGACTTGCTCTGATCAATAAAACATCACAGAGTTTAAAGATATATTGGATCTCCTGGGCTTATTGAGTCTCACAATCCATTATAGATCACATCTTTTACAGCCTGGAAGTCTGTGGAGAAACAAGGTACTGCATGGAATTGAACACTATTAGCGCCACAGTGCTGCGGCCCTGGAAACTAAACTTTGAGCTGTAACATTTGCTTATAATTGAGTAGATTCAAGGGCAAAAAGCTGTCCGATCATCTTTGTTTTCAGTCGAATTATATTACGGATAATCCATTTCAATATGTTGACAATATACCAGAAAAAGAAGGGATGACGACTTTGTTTACGTTCAATCAAAAATCAAATAATTAAGCTAGCAGTTTTATATTTAAATTGACATCCTACAGTAAAATGGGCCATCTTGAATCTTATTGTTTGTGTTTTCAGATTTGCCAATGACCCACCCATTAAAATTCAAATCCATTCAAACGATGAATCATAAACTGACTTCAATGCAAAGAAACTGCAGGAAAAAACTCTCGTTTTCACACAGAAATCGCACCATAACGTGACCGTGGAGCTCCCTCCCATTCTGCCACAAGCTCATTTACACTACTTAACGACACTGTGACTTACATAAAGGAGCAGAAGCCTGCAAAATGAAGAGAAAAAAGCCAATAAAATTCACAGAAACAGGCAGCCTGTTGTGCTTTTCGCTCATACAATCCAATTTAATCATGTTAGCGGACAAAAGAATCTGATTCTAAAAAGTTAAAGTAACCTGAGCTATTGTCAAATAACAAATCACGATGATAAAAGGCTGCGGATTCGACAATAGACCTCATAAGGAACACAAGGCCGAACCAGCTCACCTCCGAATGAAACCGACACACTCCGTGACACTTTCCCTCTTGTGCCTTTAATTTGTTTCAGCCGGCATACCGCTGCTAACTCTGCTCACATCAAAATCTTGATTAAAAAAAGGGCTGAATGCGAACATCATTTCCTCTCTTTACAATGCTTCAGACAATTCGCTGGTTTTCTAATTTGCTGGTGAACAAATGTCAGCGCGGCAAATCACCGGGGTGTATCTCACACCCTCGCTTTTAAGTAACCAGCGGGACTTTAATCAAAGGGCTGCTGTGTGTTTTGACAGAGTAATGATACAGGCACGGAGGTAATGGCCGCCGTAAAACTCCCGACTTTGCGAAACCACTTTGTTTTTTCATTAAAACCAAACATATTCTACTATTTAGCTGCCTTTCAGTATTCGTGTCTTGATTCTTCTTCTTTCTTTTCAGAGACTTTTACCTCTCGTTTCTCTGATCTTTCTGTCGACTTTTGTCTTTACCTCGCATTCGTTCACGTTCTTTTCCTCTTTTACGTTCCCAGGTTTCCTTTTCCCTCAGGTTTCTCTGCTTTTCTTTACTTTGTGGCCATTTCTATCACCAAATATCAGCGAGTCTTAAGCATCCCCTTGTCTGTAATATACATTTGAGGCTTTTCCTGTTGTTTTTTAGCTCCTTCTCATCCTGGTAAGTTCTAGTTGGACGGCCTTTAAAGGCATTTTGCAGCTTGTAGGTCGGCAGTGGCAATTCGTTGATGATAAACGGTATTCATGGCTCTGTGTGTGTTACTTCCCCCTTTAAAAAAAAGAATAATATTTTTTTAAACCCCCCCCCCCCCCCCCCGGCGCTGGCTGGCACGGCCCCATGCAGATTAGAGCCGGTTAGGAAACATTTAGAGAGCAGCATTCGGATCAGAATTTAAACAATCTGACAGAAAACATGCACGTCTTCTGCCTTTTCAACAACTTTTTGAACATCTTTACAATCCAGATGTTGTAGATGAAGGCTTTGCCTTCTTTCCTCCCCCTCAAACTCACCTCGTTGGTGGAGAGGACCGAGTCCTCGTCCAGGCTGAGAACGGCGTCCGTATCGATGACGTCGTGCGGGAAAAAACGACTGCTCATCGTCTGCAAAGAAACAAAACAAAACAGTCGCTGGTCAGTGAAGGCAAACCGCTCAAAGTTTTTGGGCAAAAGAAACAAAACTCGACTGGAACTCCTGAAGCTGAAAGTGAAAAAAAACGCGCTTTTCCACTTGACCCGGTCACTTCATCGAGCACCTAAACGTATCTAATTGTCCGGGGTGCATAATAATTGTGAGCCCCGTAAACAAACGCGTTTGTTTCCCCCCCAGCTGTGCGTGTGCGGGTCGATGATCTCGGTGACGCTTCATCAATCCGGCGCCTAGCAGAAAATAGCGCGGGCCCCCGATCCATTAGCCCCCAAAGATGGCTGCCGCTGAAGTTATCGACTCGTAATTAAAGTGTGAATTATTCATCGGTGGTGTGGGGAACGGATTGTGAGGGGCGCAAAAACTTCCAACACAGAGACACACACAGAACGGAGAAAAGACAGAAGCTAGGACACGTTTTAAAGACAAGCTAATGTTTTGGTTGTTGGTTATTGGTAATGGTCAGTTCTTTCCAGTAGCTGCTCGTTTTTTGACAGAGTGATTTAAACGGATGTCTGTGGAGGGGGGAAGAGATGTCCGCCGGTCACTGCCGGAGGCTTGGCTGTGATTACGGACAGTGCCGTGGGCAGTCGCTGCCCCGGGGGAGTGGACACACATGCCATCACGGGGCCGGACGCCTGTCGTTTAAACCCAGCCTAAATATCCCATTCGCTGTCCCTGGAGTCCGTCCAGTTTTTTTTAAACCTTATGGGTCAGATCTCGGTCATTAAGGGTCATGGTCATTACCCAGAGAGCTATTGGCATTTGGATGAGAGGTGAAAAACCATCAGGATGCAAGAAAAACAAGAAGAAGAGGAAGAAGAAGAAGCTGAAATGGACGTTCTGCAGCCTTAGACAGTTTTTTCAATAATCGTTATCAATCTGAGGTTACAAAATCAAGACTTCATTAGAAAAGAGCAGCCTGGTGGAGAGGCTTGAAGCCAGAGAAACTTTAACCCTTTAAAGCCTGAGTGTCATCGTCTGGGTAACCTGACCAGTGCTAACGCCTTAAATCCCACAGAGAGTCCAACGGTATGAATCTTATAGTCATCACTCCCTTTTTACGTCAGTTCTGCGTATTTGCCATGACTTCAGTTACTTGGGGGGGGGTCTTTGGAGATATCCAGACCTCTTTTATGCTGCACATGTTTCTGAAAATTACAGTTAAAAGTCAAAGATCTCCTAACTATCTGTAGTGCTATCGGAAATCTCAGTATCTCAGTATCTCAGTATGAAGGAGCCTGGCTTCACAGATGTGACCATTTGTCAAAAATCACCTCCACTGCTGTATTTTTTAGAGCAGCGACACACGTTTTTGTTGTTTCTAGACTTCTCTGATGCCTGTGTGTATTTCTATAATCTGGTTTTGGGTTTTTTTTACCCAGTAAAGGCAAGAAAAGGAGATAATGCTGGCAAAACTTACAACTTTTAGAGTATGTGAATCAGTCCTCGTAGTTGACGACTCAGATAATTCAATTAGATGTTTTAATAATCCAAATGTGAATTAAATCATATCACATGAACTTTTTACAGGGTTAGGTTTAGGGTTAGGGTTTCCCTAATCAAATACATACGTAATGGCTCATTATTAGAAATTTTAACCAAGAATCTTGTTGTTGCTTTTGTCAATTTGTCAAATTATGGCAAGTTTCTTAATAATATGAATCAAAACATCTGTCATTCATTGTGTTGACCCATTCCATTTGATATTATGTAATCATCTGTAGTTAAATAATTGTAAAGATTTCATTCTAAATGAAAGCAAAGTCAATAACGAAGCTCAATATCAAAGTAGAAGTTTTCAGTCGGAGTTTACGAAGACGAAAATGAGCTTGTTTGCTAGCTAACCATAACGATAACGCCGCGCTTCAATTATTCAGCGGGTCATTTCCAAACATGGATCGGCGCGCTGAGCAGAATAACTGTGCAGCACAGCGCATTTCAAAGCGTTTCCCAGGTGGTTATAGGGAGCAGAAGGTCACGCCTGCTTTTTCCTGAAGCCTCCATTTTGTGTGTGTGCTAACGCGCCCTCGGGTTTTGCATCTGTGGATTCGTTCCGTTCCATAATCACCCAAAACCCACTGATTATTTATGAGTGCAGCGGGGCCTTGGAAGGCCACTATTCTCGAAATAACGAGAAATCCCGCTGTGACGAAAATCAGGCTTCTCGGAAACCTGCGAAGTGCGCGCGGCGAGTACAGCTGCTCCAGGGTTTTGCGAGTTTTGTTGATTTTTTCCTTTCATCTAACCCACAGCGATGAGCTGATCAGTCGTAGTAAATATTCAGAAGGCCAAAAAAACATTTAAAAAAAAGGGGGACACTGGAGGCTCGGGAACTACTGTTACATCTCATAAATATGGCTCCGAGGTTTATCTGAAGCAGGTAAATAAGCATGAAAGGCTGCAGGTTCTACACTGGGAGATCCTTCCGTTTGGGTGATGATCTCCTCTGGTTGAAATTAAAAGTAAAAGTTTGGAAAAACTGAGGAGAAAGGTAAAAAACAACGAGAAAAAAAAAGTCAAGATTTCATGTCAGAAAAAGATGCCGGGCTGAAAATAGACACGTACTGTATATTTTAGAAATATTTTCCCTCTGTTCGCTTCCAGTATGTAGCCGGATAAAGTTATATAACTTCTATGGGTTGAAAACTTTCTCACACTCCCGTTTCCGGCAGAATAACACGGTTTAAAAGTATCTTTGAAATAAGATTTCCTCTCGTCTGTGCATGGTTTATCTTTAAGTGACAGATTTCTTTTGTGATTTTCCTTGATTTTGGGGTTAATTTAGAAAAAATCCAATTAAACCAACTGATCATTTAAGAGCTGCTACATTCCCAAACACAAACGCCTTCACACAGCTGTGTGGGAAGCAGCCAGTATCAGTAGACTTTCACCAGACGTCGTTTTGAGATTTGAGCAAGTTGCTTTTCCTTTTCCGAAAAGGTTCGTCCAGAGCGACAAGAGAGAAAAAAAACAGCGTGCCTTCTCAACAGTGATGATTGCAGTTATTTGTCTCCAGCTAATTCAAGCACACTGAGGATAAATTAACTAAATGATCTGTGTTTGACCTGCTCTTCGAGGGGTTTGTTGTGTTCTGTTTTCTTCATGTAATTACTCATCCGTTTGTATTTTGTTGGGTTTTCTTCGCTCCTTGCCAGTTGAAAAAGGCCCTTTTTCTACCTGGAACTGTTGGTTTCTGTCCCTGTTTTCCTAAACCTGCCTCAACAGGGCCTTGGTTCACTTGAGTGAGATTTTTGCCAGTCTACAAATAGGAAAAAACTGTCCTAAAGATCGCATTTTGAGTTAATTAAAAGGTCCTTCTTTTCATGTGATTCTACACTTTCTGTGACACGATCCAGCCTGATGTCTTTCGATAACTACATAAAAAGTACAAATCACCAAGTTCTTAAGAATAACAGAATTGTCAATTAATTCAATCTGTAATTATTGACCAAAACTACCACTTAAGTCTTAAACGTTTTCTTTGCTTATTCTATAGTGAATATTTGTGCTGTTTTCAATCTAAAGAAAGGCAGCACCTCCTCAACGATCTGATTGGTTTTATTTCTTCTGTCAGATTTCAGATTTCCGCCTTTAGATTGATTCGATTCAAGCTTTCATGGTAAACAGGCCTGGAGGTTTTAAAATTTTGTCGCTTTGAAGTAATCTTTCATTTAAAAAAAAGTTCATTTCTGTAAAGACAAGCAGAGCGTGAGTCCTCGTGTTTGTTTTTTCCGCCTTTTGATCAAGACGCGTCTTCATCTTCTACATCTGGAAAACCAAAACCAGTGAGTCTCTCCTCAGAGTCCCAGGCTGCTTTTTCCAACCCAGACGCAAGTTTTTCAGGAAAACGACAGAACCAGCACACGCTTCAAACAAACCGGGAACCTTCGTCTCGGCATCGTCTCGCACGCAATCAGACGCCAACTCTTGCTCGGTTTCTTAGTTTCTCCCGCCTTAATACGCGGCCACGTTTTCAAGTCCGGGGCCCCGTGGTGCCGGTTTCCAGCTCATCTGACACAGATAAAAAACAGCGGAGTCCAGCGGAGTCTGAGGCCCACATCAGAGAATAAAAAGCGAGCCGAGGCCCCTGTTGATGGAGCGTAACACGGAGTAGAAAACACTCATAACCGACAACAAATGACTCACATACCCCCGTCGAGACAAATGACAAACTTTCTGTGTTGTGATTGGATGTGGAGCCGAACGCAGCAAGTGCCCGAAATGAAATACACTCGAGAGCGTCCGTCCTGGCAGCGCATAGCTAATTACAGGAGCGCACGTGGGCGTGCACGTGCACGTTTGCTGTCACGGGAGGAAAACATCGGTCTGTTTCGAGAGGGAGGCATTTACATGAAAACAAACAGAAGCAATTAGGCGACAAAGCCCGAGGATTAAAGACGCAGACGGATGGAGACGCGGGGATCACTTAGCGAGGGGTCTGATGAAGTGGAAGTTAAAAGGTTGAGCTGTTTAAAACCGATGATTGAACGAGGAAGGCCCGAGCACGTGCGTCTGCACGCTCGGTTCGGATTTTTTAAAAAATGATCGTAATTTATAATCGAAACTCACGTCGCTTCAATTTCAGCATCAAGCCTCAATTTAAAGCACGAATAGAGTAAGAATGTAGATTATATAGAGGAAGATTCTTCCCTCTGTGGTTTTAGGAGGTCAATTTAAAGACAAAAAAAACTGATTTTACCTTATTTCAACATTATGAAGTCTTTAAAACTTTCCCATATAGTTGTCATAATATGAAAGTCATTCTAAAAACCCATCTCATGAAATTTACACCTTATCCCTGAACATAAATCTGTTCTAGGATCAATCTGTCCATTATTAAGAGTATTAATGGAGGAAATTCCATTGATCAATAGGCACTGGTTAGGCACAGAGGATGGAGGGGTCATTTCTGACCACAATAAAAAAAATTAAACTCCCGGTCTTGAGGATAAAAGTGTTATTGGCACACTTTTATATCAGAACTCCGAATAGTGGAATGTGAAATTCAACAGGGTCTCACTGAGTCAAGTCTACTTCTAGGAAATTAAATTTATTCAAAGGTGTCCTCCATAAACATCTGAAAGCAAAAAAAGAAGAGATATCTTAAAATTCTTGTCACAAGAACTAGAAAAACCAAATGTGTGTGTGTGTGTATGGGGGGGGGGTCGATATTTGCTCATGGCTGTGTTTGAGAGATATGGTCCTCTCTGGTGCCCTTTTTAGGCAAAAAAAAAACGAGTTATGCTCAATTTTCCTGGTTTACTTGGCAGAGTGGGTCTAAACATATTCACCAGCGAGTTTTTAAGCGGGTTCTGACTCACGGTGGATTAAAAAAAGGAAGAGGATGTTACCTTTTTCTGTCCTTCTACGATGGTGAGAGGCACGCTGGTGGGGGGCCACTTATTCCTGGGGGGTAAAGGCTTGTCACAGTTCCATAACACCACGATCTGTGTTGGGAGAAAAAAAACACACAGAGTGATGCTGGAAAACTGACGCTGAAACGCCCGTTTTTTTAAACGATATTCGTGAGGGACCGGGTCGGGTTCCCGGTCGCTACGGCAACGGGAGGAGGCTCCTCTCCCCCCCCACCTGTGCACAGAACTTGGACTTGGCCACGGCGATGATGAGCTTGACCACAGGGGAGACCTGGGCCTGGAGAGGGGACACGGCGTGGATCACAGCTGTGAACTGCTGCACCGGGGTCCTACCTGCACACACACACACACACACACACACACACACACTCTTGTAAGTACCTCAGACTGAGGACCAAGTGAAAGGACTCACAAACTGAGGACCAGTAGTTCTGAGCGTCTTAAAAAGATTGAGTTTTCAAATTTTTCCCACTAGGTGTCACACACACACACACGCAAACAAACACACACCCACACACACACACACACACAATAAAGTGAGGACCAGGAAAATGTAATCACTTGCCAAAAAATACCTCACTTTGTTGGTTAAAAACTACTTATGGTTCTCACTCTGATGCGGCAACAAGGACACACACACACACACACACACACACACACACACACACACATAGAGGCAGCTGGCCTGAGTAAACTGGATCTAGGTTTGCTCTCTCCTGAAAACCCTGAGTGTGTTTTATTCAAATGTCGATTACGCTGACTTCTTTTCTCCATCTTCCTTTCCACCCCCAGACGAAAATGGGAATAAAAAATGTAAAAAAAAGCCGACGTGGAACGGAGCCAAACTTAAATTACTGCTGTCAGTACATGGCGTCCGGCCCACAGTGCAACGGATGACAAATTCATCAGCGTTATTGAGTTTCCCATGATGGGATTTTGTCTTCTAAATACATTTTTTATTCGATGATAAACGAGCCTCCTCCCGTAATTGTATAGAGAAAAACATCACTCGTCCTACGCTAACAAATAGTAGGAGTCAGGGTGATGGTGAAGATCTGAGCAAATAGACTAATAAATACACACTGATGGAGAGAATCAGACAAATAATCAGCTGCGTGTCCTCTCTTCTGGTCATTAATTTGATTACTTTACAAATATCAGACGGATATCTTATGGCTATTAACTATTCAAACGACTTTTTTCTTATGTCTCATGGTCAGAGTGTGCATGTTTGCAGATTTATTGATGATTCTGCATATGAAAGCACGTTGTTTTCCATGTTCTTTCCCTGTTTTTGTGTCCATGCTGGGTTAATATTTACCCATATCAACCTTTTAGCACCACGTCCTCCTTTACTGACACATTTTTGTCATTGTTGTGTTTCTCTCTCTCTTACACCAAGTTTAGTTTTTTTTTCCTGCCATGAACAACCTTGCTTTAAATCTATATTTTATGGACTTTCTGCCACTGTGTTGCTTTTGATTTTGTTGATAAAAAAAAGTGTTTTTTTTCCTTCTTTCACCTGCCAGCCTCCAGCCTGTTAGTCTGGATTTGGGTTTTCCAAAAAATACGGTGACAACACAGATGTTTTACGGAGCGATGGGAGTGACTGACTGACAAGATGCAAGTAAAAAAAAGAGAAATATGGAAAGGAAAGCAACAGGATTTAGACACGACATGACAAAAGTTACTGTAGCAATGTGCAGTTTGAGAAAAAACTCTATTTCTATGAGAACTTTAAGGGGTGTAAACCTAGTTTTGAACCTCTCTCAGAAGATGTAAACAGCTCCTTTTATAGTGTCAACAGGGAAATACCATCTATGGACTTTAATTAGTCTTCTTCTCATGAAGGAAATTACATTAATAAGAATCAAGGAGATTTATTTAAAATGAACATGGCTTTCGAATGTGAATTTTGACCAGAAATGTGGACCTTTTTGGTACAAAAAAACAAAACAATCAGCTCATACAGAAAAGCTTGTTTTGGGTACTATAGTTTCTTTCCTCGCACACAACTTGAAACGCTAATTAAAGAAAGTCACACATCTCCCGTGTGCACTCGGCGAAGGCTGGAGAAATTCTTAATGGATAAACAAGAAACACTCTCATACGTTTAATATTCAGAACAGGCAAAGGAGGCCGGCAGAGCAAGTGCTGGGGGTGGAGTGGGGGGGGGTGTGGGAATAGGGGAGTACATATCCTCACGGATAAGTGGAGTCAGAGTGCTCTTTAGTGTTGCTCTATCCATCTCCCTGACACCGGGCCCCCTGACCAGCCATCTCAGGTGGGCTTAGTGGTATTTATGGAAGCACCAATGGTGCCCTTGTGTGGGGGGGTCACAGAAACAGAAGGAACAACGCCACCTTTATCATTATTAAACGACGTGAACCTCCTTTATGGCATGGACATTTGCCAGCACCGCTGTGCTAATTAGAGAAAAAGTCGATTTGAAACAGAGTCTGGACACATAATGCAAAAAAAAGAAAATGAATGATTCTGGACATTACACATCTCTTTTATATTATTTATGATGCGTTGTGTGTCCCTGGAGAAACTAAGTAAATTACTCAAATGATACTTAAGAAATGCATGCAGTCCTTAGGGACCCCAATAATCAAAGAATTGAACAGAAAGACTAGATTCACTCTGTATGCTGAAGTACAGCAAATAAACACATAGCATAGGACACATTCTGATCATTTACAGCTGGATTTCCTGTTCCAGCACACCTGATTCAAACAAACCAGGCAGCCTGCAGCTCTTTAAGCTCTGCAGAAGGCGGATAAAGACCCATTGGTTGGGATCAGGTGTGCTACAGCAGGAACCCTGGAAAACATGCAGGGACCAGGGCTGATAAACACATTTTATATCATGAATTTTATTCAAATTCGAATTCAAGTATTTATAAGATGATTTAGACTTTCTGTTTAGCTGAATTGAAATGGATCTGAATGGAGATGAATGAAGAAAGGGGAAAGGCTGAAGGATTTCAGCACCATGGAGAGAGACACTCAGTGTCTATAGTCAATTCCCAACAAGTGAAAGTGAAGACAAAATAGAATCTGGACAAAGAACAGTTGTGTCTGCGGGGCGTTAACGGGGTCAGAAGGTCTCATCGACTCATCGGTGAAAAACATTTCAGGAATAATAGAGTGCTGTAACTCTTTATTTTTCAAGCTTGGAGGGTTCAGTGAGGCAACTGGACGTGAAGTTTTCGAGAAGACGTTTGGACTCTCATCCAAGAGGCTTTATCAGTTCTATCTGATGGTGGGGAGCACTGAGATTGATATACTATAGGTGTAACAAAAGAATTGGGGGGGGGGGGAAACTAAAGTTGACTCTGATCCCTCCTGGACGGGCCACAGAGGTCACCTGGGGGAGTGTTGATGGTGGTTAGGGGGTTCTGATTGGTCGTTGACTCCCTCATCTTTATTTTTCCTGGCTTTAAATTGGGAATAACTTTTATTTCAGACTTTGAAAGTATCCTATAACCTTTAACCTTGATTTTTCCTTAATGTTGAAATGTGGAAAATCCTTTTTAGCTATTAGCATCCTAGCTGTAATTTTCTTAAACACAATATCTATTATTATCAAGTCTAAAGAGTACAGCACATTATATATTTACCCACAATTATGTGCTGAAAAACAGTATGTGATATATGAAAGTAATACGAAAAGTTTGTATTACTAAACAGTCATAAAATATCTGTTGTGTTTCCTACTGAATCAATCTGTAAGTGTGAGTTTCTCTGAGGCACAAACTCACTCGAAGCCACACACAAACGCACAACTTTTCTCTCAAGCTAAAATAAAAATAATCGCATTAGAATATTCTCACAGACTCTTTGGCCCATATGCCTGCAGTGAGCCAGACTTTGTAAAAAAAAAACATGCAAAGGTTGCCACTGCTTTGCCATCAGAAGTTATGGAGGGGAAGCAGAGTGAGACCGCCACACAAAAAGTTACTCCCCGAGCAGCAGAAATAGTGATTTACTGCTCAGCCATAAACAAAACGGCTCCATTTCACCTTCTATCTCTCAATTCCTCCCTCCTCTCCTCCTCCTAACCTATGTGTCCACGATTCCTCGGGGGCAGACAAACATCGATCTGAGTTACGGCCTCGGCCTGCTGAGAATCCCGGTGTTCTGCGTGCACGCCCACCCGGCCGTGCACACACATCCGCCCGCAGCTACATCTGTCTGCACTCTGCTCCACCCTGTGACATCTTCCTATATGCACATGACCGGCATCATTATGTGGCTGGAATTTGAATAATAGCTGATACGGAGTCAGTTTATGAGCGAAATCATACAAGTTTTAGCAAGTTTTCATAAATAAAATAGATATTGATTAAGAATTATCTAAGTCTGGATAATATTCACTCTGTCTTACAATTTCGTGATCATTCATTTCTGTTTTTTTGTTGAAATCTAGAGCTGTTAGTCATTCAATTTGGATCTATTTGTGGTTCTTTGTCCTGTTCTTAAAGGTGCCACTGCTGATAAGAAAGGCAAGGCAAGGCGAGTTTATTTGTATAGCATATTTCGTGTTCAAGATAATTAGAATTGCTTGACAAAGAATTTAAAAGCAGAAAAACCAACAAAGAAAGTTAATCAACAAAATAAATTAGAGTTAAACAGTTAATTACAGTTAAACAGAAGCGTTTTCAGCCTGGATTTTCTAATGCTTGACCATGCTTTGTCCGTCCCAAAATTATCACAAAAGTCCTGGACAAAACTCCAACTTCTACTCGTTTATAAGGGGATGTGAAACCAGCTATTTTTCTTATTGAAAGGAAATTTCAGTCAAATGGGAAACATTTTCTGTAGTGTTTCAGAAAATTAGTTCAATAGCGTATGGTCCAAAGAGCAAATTACTGGTCCGAAAGTGGAAAAAGTTGTTAGCATGTTTGCAATAATTAGACGTATTTGCAAACAGATTTGTCTTTTTTCTGCAAAAGTTGGGTTTTTTTTACACAGAAAAACTTTTACATAAATTCAGGAAGATTTGTATATTTCTTATTTATTTCAGCGTCATGTTTCAAATGTATGGTTTAAAGTTAAACAGAGATAAATCGATCAGATAATGAATCTACTGATGGAGGCTTGTTCCCCTTTAGAAACAGAAGGACTTACCAAGTATGGCGTAGTAGAAGGGGAACTGAGCAGGGTCTGCTGAGTACTGCGGGAGGGCGTACAGACCACCGGGCAGGGAATTCCACAGCAGCTGGTTTCTGGACACGTGGGACTCCACACGGTCCTGGATGATCTGCAACAGGTCATCCCGGGTCATTGCACTAATTCAAGATTAAAAAATAATTTTGCATCTAAAAGAGCATCAGGACAAAAACAAAACCATGACGGAGAAAATAGCAAATACAAGCAAAGATCAAACATGATGCAAAAGTTATCAGGATCTTAGATATTAATGTAGAAAAAAATGGATTAGTGGATTTAAGAAAAGAATTACACTCTTTTTTCACTAAATTAAGCACATTTTAACCTCCTGAGACCCGAGCTTTTATTTGGCATGCATTTTAGCTTTTTTTTTAAAGATATATGAGATACATATTTAATTAAATGTTTTTACAATTTTGTTCTGACAGTCCCATTGACTCATTTACAGTTTTTCTATTACACAATAAGAACATGATTGGATGGAAATGTATAAAACCATTTTACTTTAGATTTCAAACAGTGTCTGATAGCATCTGCTATGAGGTCAAGAGGTCAAAGCTGAAAGAAAAAAAGAAGTATCATGGTAAAGAGAGACAAAAATGCAACGTCCTCTTATGAGGACACAGGGTCTCAGGAGGTTAAAGTCTTCTTTGATAAAAAAAAACAAAAACAAAAAACATACTCAGTTGGGAGTAACATGGCACTACACAATGAAGCTTTAAATATATACGTTTTTTTTTAAGAACAGCATATCTGGATTAATTTTTCAGGTGCACTGAAACACTGATGATTTCCCATCAGTGTTTGTTTGTTCTAGTTTAACTGCGCATCACAGAAAGGATACAGAAAAAAATCAGAAGGACAAATCATTACTCCCTTGTAAACGAAACATAACCATCCTCCTAAATGTGCTGATTTCCTTCAAACTGGAGATGCCAGCTGTTAATTAAACATCTGGTGCTCTGGGAGGTCTGCAGAGAATGTGGCTCCTCAGAGCTGAGACACTTCTTTACAGTGAAAGCAGCTTAAATACTAAGTTCCAAACACGATCTATATAGGACTTTTTCAAAAACCGAGACACCCGACAGAAGCCATGCGTTATTACGTCTGTCAGACTTTTTTAATCGGTCCTGTTACTTGGTTGATCGTTTCAAATCAATTTCCTTTGGTGACTTTTAAAGTATGACATGCATCGACCTTCTATAAACTCATGAAAATCCAAAAATGGCCATAATTTCTTGACAAAGCAATTATAACTGACAATATTTTAGACAGATTCTCAACAGTGGAAAACAGGTCGTTTAAGCATTTAAAGGTAAGAAACATTTTACTTTATCCAATCAAATTCTAGTGATTCTTTCAAAAATAATTCAATAACTCAAAACACAGGCACTGGAAGCCAATACTAACACACATACATGACTATGAGCAAAACACACATCTGGCACAAACTGCCTGCCGAGCACCGGTGGGGAACATTCCAGTTATCCTGAACGCATCATTTCACCCGCTCAGCCCTTTGGCCCGCTGGCGCTGACTCCTCAGCACATCTGGCCAGCGGTTCACGACCGTCAGTGGGCTCCGGCCTAATTTCCTACCCAGCTGGACACCCGGGTATCCATAGTGGAGAGAATTTGAGAAAAAGGAAAGCGCCTGTTTTTCTATTTATAAACCAAAAGCACACTTAGTTATGGTGTCCTAGTGGCTGGTCCAGGGTAGCTATTGTTTCTGAATCCAAAAGCTGCATTTTCATAATATAAATCATAAAGATTTGACTTCTCAGCTAATTAAAAAAAGAACCTAGCTAAATATTTCTTCGTCTACGCTCAGGGGATTTGCTCAAACGGTGGGATGTGGCCCTGAGCTGAGGGCTTTCTGGAGTCAGAAGCAGTCCCATATTTAGGTTAAAGACTCACATCGCTGACCCAGTTTAACAACGCGGAGATGTACTCCTCTCTTTTCGGAGGATTGAGACACAAAGACAGGTATCTACATCATTAATGTCTTTTATAATGGTGTCAGGAGGAAATAAGCTGTATTAGCTCTCAATGCTCTCTGGAGCTGATTTCAGTAGATAGGCATTGTTATATTCAGCGCGTCCATATTTCAAATATCTTTTGTCAAAACTGTTCTTTCTTTTTTCAATAAGTGTTCGGTGTGAAATATTTTAGTTTACAACATAACTTTTTTTGTCAATGATGAATAAAGACTGATAGGAACACAGTGAGATAACATGATGTTCTACAAAAAGGGTTCAGAATGTAACTAAAATTCTGTTTAATTGTCTGAATCCCAGTGAAGCTGACGTTAAGCACAAAAAAAACGTGATAAAAGTTACAATCTTGGCAAAAAATCAGGGGGGAGAAAAACGAAAGTGTTATGATGAAGTGATTTCATGTTTCATGGAGGAAAAAGCTTCTTAAAGCTACATCAACAAGTTAATCAACTTTATTTAAAAAATGTCAAATTAAGAAATGAATAGTGGATTTTATCTTAAATAATATATATATATTAAATAATACTTAGGTGCAAATTCAAAACATTTCTTAGAAGTGCTGCATGGACATAATACTTTTCGGTTCAACACAGTTTAAGCCAGGACAAAATGGAAGTACACAGTGGCTAATTAAAACAATTCTGGCCTCAGCTGAACAGAGTTGCATAGTCTATAGCATTAGTTCCACCAAACATTAAAAAAAAGACCATAGAAGAAGAGCTTGTATTCAGAAACTGTGGTCCTGGGCACATTGGCAGAGAAAGGGGATTAAAAATGCATCAAATGTTCTGAAAGCAAACATCTGGGCTCATTTCAGACAATGTGAAATAAAAGTGCAAACTGAGTTCTAAAGAAGTCGGGCAGACAGAGAAAATCCAGATTTAACGAGGTGCCGAAAGCAGAAGAGAATCAACACATTTCGGAGTTATGGATCTTTAATGAATTGAAATTTCCCCGATACGCTAATAGCATTTCTTTTAAAACCTTTGTCGTATGTTTGACTATCAACTCACAAAGTTTTTCTTAGTATGAAAGTGATCAGAAATAATACGCAGTGCTTCTATGGACATGTGGGAAATAGATTTAATACAACCTCATAAAAACAATAAGAACAGAAACAAGTTTTACCTCAGTAACGACTTTATTATGTAAATTATAGTGTCACTGTTAATTTTTAAAGAATATAAAGCCATAAGAGCAGCCCTAAAGTCAAAGGATGGTGATGGCGGTGATGATGGTCTCTGCGTGCGCGCTGGTGGTGATAAATGAAAACAATAATAGACTCAATGTTACAGGACTTTTGTGATTTTCAATTTTTAGCTAATCTTTGATTCGGTTCGACTTCCTACATTTATATCACAAACAGCATTAACATTAGAGAAGAAAAATTGTGGGAAAAAATACTTATTTTTAGAAGAAACTCCAGCAGGGAGAAGAGAGTTTAGAGAAGAAGAGACACCTGATTGAGACAGTCACACATCTAAACATTTCAAATTTTGTTGAGGATCCAAAGTAGCTTTTTCTTGAAGAAATAAAATGATAAAAAAAACACTTCAGACTTTATGTTTTAGAGCCTGAATGTCACGACACTGTAAGTGATCACATGATTGTAAAGTCAAATCAGGCTTCTTCATTTCCAATTCTAATCTTTCTGTGACTTCCTTCTTTTAAACCTGTTTCCTTTTGTTTCACATTAGCTCTAACTGATCTGAGCAGCTTCTACGTGCAAACGTCAGAACATTTAACGAAAATTTAAAAAAATAACTAACTGAAAAGTGATTCCCTCTTCGGATGGAGCAAACAAAACTGGAGAGAGGCCTCTTTCTCGATTCCCTGTGTGCGGGAAGCGATGCGTAACCGGCGGCAACGCACACCCCGGAACATTAAAAAAAATCCGTTTGGTTGATTAAACCAAGCCCTCTGGAGAACTCAAACCAACAACTCCGAAATCCAGGAGCCTTTTTTTCCGGGAGCTTACCTCCAGAGTGGTTAGGACTATTTTGGCTACGGAGGAGAAGTAGGCGTCCCAGAGGAACTGGGTCTGCTGGCGGAGGGCCAGGATCCTGTCATGGCCCACAGACCGGGTAATGGAGGGAACCTGGGAGAGGAGCGGAGGAAGAGAAAGCCAGAGAGTCAAAAAAACGACGGCGGGATAGATCGAGGGAGATTTAAACAATACCGAGTGAAGGGTGTGGAGAGAAAGTGGGAAAACAGACACGCACGGAAAGAAGCTTAAGTCATTTTAAGGACAGCAGAAAAGATTAGTGGATTTTTCTATCCCACACCTCAATCCCTGTCCATCAACAAGCTTCCCCTCAGGACAGGAAAGAAGTGACCACTAAAATGCTACTGCTCCCTTTCATTGACATTTTCAAATACACACTTCATAAAAGTGATGTGAAACAAAGCCTGAGATTGGGTCTAAATCCGCTTTCTGATTTGCTGCTTTTTGAGAAATGGTGTTACAGATACAAAGTAAGAGGAGGGGCTAGGGGGGGATGATGGTCCTAAACAGGAAGTTATTCATCCGGAGATTCCTGGATATGGATATCGGACCCCAACGCTTCTCAATTTAAGAGGAAAGCAAACAAATTCAAAGTTGTAACACGACACCTTTTTTTCCAATTTCAAGCAAATGCATCACAATTCAATGTATTTGTGTTTGAATTTTCCATTAGTTTACAGTTTATCGTCTAACTTTGTGCATTTAAAAATACGTAGACTATCTTCTTAACGTTATCATTTTAACAAAATTAACAAAATTTAACAAAATTGAAAACCTTTTCTGTGCACTTTGACACAAAAGTGGCACTAAATGAGACTCAAAAGTCCTTAAAACCTCTGTTTATAGTCCGGGCTTTTTTACTCTCTACCCTTTTTAATTCACCACTAATAATTAAGACATCGTGGAGCTGGGAATGTTGCTGTCCAATACCCGCAGACGTTTTTCTGATGAGCCGCTGGCCAATCGAGGAGTGGCCAGAATTGGACTCCACGGGCCGCTTTAAGCAATCAAAACAGAGGAGCGGAAATTGAATGCGCTTGCTTTGAAATTGCCACGACAAATAATGAGATAACAGCGACGTTGTGGTGTTTAAAAGGCTCCAACGTGCCAGTTTCAGATGCTGAATGACGGAGCTCAGAGAGATTTATATAATCACATCTGGGGCTAATAAACTCACCGAGACTTTTCAATTCATTAACTAAAAGTGTAATAGCTGTGTAATTACCAGACAAACAAGAGGAAAAGTTTTCCCCCCCAGTCTCTGTGTAACTGTTCAGCTCAGAGGCAGAAGAGAGACAATACCAATCAATCCAGCTCCGTTTTCCTCCCCTCCATTGACTCTAATAGTGTTTATGTTTCTCAGCGGGGGACGCTGCGTTTGCGTGTGTGTGTGTGTGTCTGTCGTCGTGCTTTGTATGTTTCGTCTCCACGGGGAGGGGGGGCAAACAGACATTCTACATATTAAACAGCCAGGTATTGCGATTCTCGGTGATGTAATTGAAAGTAATGAGATCCAACTCTCCCAGCAGGCTGTGGAGCTGTTGTGAGTTTGTGTTTGTGACAATATCCGGTTTGCCGTCCACGGAAAGCGAGTGTGTATCGAGCATTTTAATTTACTGCAGCCCCTCGTGAATGAATGAAACATTTATGTAGCTTTTGATGGATTATTTGAGCTGTTAATTAGAGTGGACATTGTATTAGAAAACCCCTCAGGTCAGAAAGCCTGCGCTGAATGACAAGAGATGCTTTTGAAATGAAGCATAACTTGTTTTGATTTTATTCCTGATCATCACGTCAGGTTTCAGTGTGCCCTAAATGAAGACGTAGAAGAAGACGTATCTCGGGGGGGCTAAAGCAAGAGGGGCGTGCTAACTGTAGCAGAGCTGTAAGGCCTTCTGACACCTCCCTCACCAGAATGGTTTGTCCCTTTCTGGTTGACCTACAGTACATTTATTAGACAGCATCGAGGCGTGGGGACACTCGGCCGCTAGCTGGACGCTAGTGTGATGCGTTTATCATGGAGGAAGCAAAGACTCCACATGAGGTTTCACTTTTCAGCTGCAGAAATGACTTCAAATGTGGCGAACACTCACTGATCTCTTCATAAGTTCGCCTTTTCTAACAATCCAGACAACAGATTCTCTGTGAATGAAGGAGGAGAAGCAACACCTGAAGGCGATGACTTTTTGTGTGTTAGCATTGTTCCCAGGCCCTGCACAGCATGGCACAACCAAAATACAACCAAAACACGACCAAAACAGAACCAAAACAGAAACAAAATACAACCAAAACACAACCAAAACACAACCAAAATACAACCAAAATACAACCAAAACACAACCATAACACAACTAAAACACAACCAAAACACAACCAAAATACAATCAAAACACAACCAAAATACAACCAAAACACAACCAAAATATAACCAAAATACAACCAAAACACAACCAAAATACAACCAAAACACGACCAAAATACAACCAAAATACACCCAAAAAAGAACCAAAACACAACCAAAATGCAACCAAAATACAACCAAAACACAACCTAAACACAACCAAAACACGACCAAAACACAACCAAAATACAACCAAAACACGACCAAAACACAACCAAAACACAACATCAACCAAAACACAACCAAAACACATCCAAAACACAACCAAAATACAACCAAAACACGACCAAAACACAACCAAAACACAACATCAACCAAAACACAACCAAAACACGACCAAAATACGACCAAAACACGACCAAAACACAACCAAAATACAACCAAAACACAACCAAAATACAACCAAAACACAACCAAAACACAACCAAAATACAACCAAAACACAACCAAAATACGACCACAAAGAGTGACGAGTGTTTTCTGAAAGCCGCCATTTCATAAGTGACGGGTTAGAGACCGTCGGAGTCTTTGAAGTCAGAAAAACAGACTGAAAATCTTAATAGGAAAAGAGACTGAAACTAAGATTTTGAGATGAGATGGAGTCGGTACGCTCAAATGAGGGGGCGTGGAGAAGTGTTTCTCACAGAGAAAGGCTTTTATGGAGACTCTTTGGGTCAAAGAGATCCTCCTAAATGCCATTACTAAATGCTGTTTGACACACAGCGCTGCACGCCACTCGCCTACCGGCTGCCATTTTAAAAAGGGATTATTGAAATTAAACAGGCTTTTTTTTTTTTTAGCATTTCAACAAAGATGTTATTATTTATCAGATTCAATTATTAATCAGTAAAAGCTACAAGGCTTTCTCCTGTCAACCCAAGGCAAAGAGCCATATTTCTTCAGACGTTTCTTAATAGCACTGTCATGAACTTTAACATTTAGCAAGCTAACTGATGCATGTAGAGTTTGAGATGAAACTCTTGTTTTTTTCGTTTTTTTTCCCCAGACCTTTGGATGAACCTGCTGAGACAAACACTCACGAGAGGAGAAAGATTTTTCTCCCTGGAGATTTGACCTGAAACTGCTCTCATTTTAAAATCAAACCGGACTCTGGTTGCACACACAATCTGTTTTAAAAACAAGAGGATGAAGAGTGAGTGATGGATTACTTTGAGCAACGCATTACACAACAAAGTCCAGCAACAATGTGTGTGTTAGTGTTACATAGAGACTAAAAAAAGTGTGACACGTTGTTTTTTTATGTCTGATTTTCCTCTGTGCGCACACAAATTCCAGTTTTATTCTTTAACGCTTTAATCTTAAATAACCAAATCAATCACTGTTTTTATTATTGATATTTCGGCATCAATCTGTTAGTTCTGAAAGCTTTTGTGCTTGATGGCCTCAAGCTATTTTATTAGTGAAAAACATTTTTTTAATCTAAAATCCACACTTTTATGATGGCACTTCAACAGTTGTGTGGCTTTTAGAGACTAAGAAGAAATGAACCAACTATTGTCAGGAGCAGATTTAGAGCTGACATGGAACCAGGGATCCAGACAAATATAGCCTCCACACACACACACACACACACACACACACACGTCCACACTGCTGTCCAGGAGCTGACAAAGGTCTTGCGGGTGACACAAAGTAATACTGCTAGTAATTAGAAAATCTAAATATCACCCGTTCTGCCCGCTGCTGTGATTAAAGAGAACAGAAGGTGATCCAATTGTGGAGAAATCCATCTGAGATTCCAAAAAAAAAAAGCCAATCCTGGTCTAGATAATGACATCTGTTACATCTACATAAAAGAACACGTAGTAAATTCAGTTTTCTTTGTTGTGTCTTTCTTTTTTCAAACCACAGTCAGTAGGCAAATGCACTAGACGGATGGTTTTACTTACTTTTTGCATATTTTTGGTGAGTCAAAGTTTACGTTTAAGCCTCTAGGAGATTCTTTTAGTAAGATATCTTCTCACAAATTCTTCTCATGTTTCATTAAATATGAACTTTTCAGAATATCTTAAACTGACAGCAGAGCTCGGGAAGGGAGAGTGAACCGATGAGGAGTTTTTAATGGAATCTGCTGGTTTCCTTCACCAGGAAACCTTTTATTTGAACTGGCTTTGGTTGGAATGAGTTTGGAATTGAATTGATTTGATTGTTTTACGACGAACTGCTCTACGATTGGCTCAAATTAGTCTGTTTCTTTAAAGGTTTTTTAGATGACTTTCCTCTCGATTTGGCCCAATTATGATAGAAACTGCACTGGATTAGCTTGAATATAATTGAATTGCAAAGGGGCCTGCAGAAAAAGCCCAAAACTCCCATCACAAAAATGTTGCCCATCAACTTTTTGGAAAAAAAAAGGTCACATGTTATTTGTTGATGTGCAGAAATGAAGAAAATGAAGGAAGTTTTGCTCTTTTTTTTTTATCCCTGATTGAATTGAATAATTGTCTTTTCCTTTTAAATCCCGCTGATTCTCGGTATTTTCAGCCTGCTCCGTTCTATTCCCGTCCCTTTTTTAATCTCCTTCTAATCACTTTTTTTTTCAGTACCTGCAACAGCAGTCGCTCGTCTCCGATGATGGCGGCTTTCCTCCAGTCGATCACCTCGGAGAAGGGAAGCTCCCAGCCGTTGCTCAGAATAACCGGGATGCAGGCAGCCTGTGAGGAAAATAAACCACAACATTCCCATTAGGAGAAATTTGTAGTCCGTATTTGTAATGAACTTTCCTTGCACACAAAAAAGAAAAGAAGCAAAGACCTAAGGAGATCTCATCATAATCTGTTTGCATGATTTCAGCTTGGAAAAAGGAAGAAAAGTCTCTGAAATATGAGTCTCAGAAGAAGTTAAAAGTAGAATGTTGGGAAGTTTGTCTTTTTCTTTCCCACACTGGGAGGTTTTAGTTCTCTATGATCGATTTCTTCTTTCAACGGGCTCCAAGTTAAGTTCCTCACAAACAATTTGAGCTGCCAGAAAGATTAAGGCCCAAATGAGGTGGATTTATTTGTTTTTTTCCCCCTCTATTGTGCTTCAATATTCAGAAGGCTAATTTATACGACTCATTTAATTAAGAGAGTTGTTTTTTTTCAGCTCTCTGTGAGAGTGAGAGTCAAACTAATTCCATGGGGAGATTGTTGGAACTCCTCATCATCTGTGTTTAATGGATAAGACTCGATTGTGCACTCCACTGAGACATTAGCTATTATTTCACATATTTAATGCCTCGCTCCGAGGATTCTGGTGCCCAAAATATATTTTTTAATGGAGAGTTTAATGTCTCAAACAAACAGGAAAGTGAGTATGAGAAGATAGTAGCAAACACTCAAACAGTTCCTGGGTTTGGGATCAAAAGTGCTCTTTATCAACTTTATCAGCACGTTGGGATGTCACCTGCTAGTAAGAAGTTAAGAGGAGTCAGAATATATTTCACTCTCTGGTATTTTCATTTAAAGTTCAAGTTCCTTTGAGAGATTAAAGCAGATTCACAAAATGCCGAGTACATGATCAGTTCATTATGAGACGACTTTCCTATTCTTTTTCATATTTTTTTTATTCTTTTAATTGTCCTTCCACCAAATATATTTTTTTAATCTCTAAAAAACCACACCAACTCAATATATTATTAAATGACAGATTTTCAGTTAAAAGTAAAAAAACTAAAAAAATCTTTCTGTATTGTGGGCAGCCTCCTGGACCGAGGACCTTTGGTCAAAGTGTAAGTGACCCCTCCTCCAACACTGCAGATGTGTGTGTGTGTCTGTGTGTGTGTGTGTGTGGACAGGAAGTGACAGAAAAGTCACTTTCAAACTGAAAAACAAAACAAAATCTTTGCAGCAACTGTTGCAAATGACTGAAACAGAAACAATCACGAGTGACTTATCCCTCAATCTAAATGCGCTCTGTCAGAAACACGAGCAAAAGCTGAAAAAAAAACTAAAACATCTCGGGGCAGAGGTGGAAAACAGACAGAAAACAGCACGCTCGGAGGGGTGAAAACAGACGTTTGCTGCGTCTGAGGGAAGACGGATTTGTCAATCGTCATAAAAATGTGCTGATGGCATCGGGAGGTGGTCGACATTCTGACTTTAATGGGAACGAAGACAGAAATACACAACAAACAAGTTACAGTCTCCCTGGTGTCACATTCATTACGTTTAGCTGGAGAAAACACTTTTTTTCTTCAACCAGCAGGACCATCTTTTCTCTTTAAGGTCAGGACCACAGTTTAGGAATCGGTTTAGATGTTTAGAAAAGGATTTTTTCCCTCCGTAGAGAACATTAATCGTCATAATATGTTTTAATATTCTGAACTTTGGTCACACTCGCCTGCAAGGCCTCGAGGAAGCGGAAGGATCCCAGGCGTCGGCCCCGGGGAACCAGGCAGAAGCTGGAGTTGTGGAGCAGCTCCTGGTAGTCGAACCTACGCACACAAAATGGAAGACCGGGTCAGAAAACAAGGTATAATGATAATAATGAAAAGACGAGCCGAGAAGATGAATTAGAATAAAATAAAATAAAAAGGAGAGAAGTCCCAGGAAAAGCATTTTTTGGTGTTTTATTTCCCAAACTAACGAGAAAATGACAAAAATGGAAAAATTCCTTTTTCATATCTCTGTTTCATATCATATCTGCTGCTTTTGAAGACAGTCGTAACGCATGCACAGCAAAAGATAAAACCCGAAATGTGCTGAAAAAAAGCACTCCACGCCTGTTTTGTAATAAAACATCACCAGACCGGAGTACACTATATCTGAGTCAGATGAGAAAAGGAAACGGTCCAACCCTCAGTGAAAGTCTCACTTAGCTGGACGGGAATAAACTATTGAACGGGAGGCAAAATTTGTCCATCAAAAGACGCCGGTGAGTGTTTGAAGGCGAACGCTCCCATTTGTCCAGAGATATTCTCTCAGCAAAAGTCAGTGTGGAGGATAAGGCCATAGTCAACTTTTCAAACCGGCTGCGTTCCTAAAAAAACTCTTTACATCCACCCATTTAAAACCGGGTCACCGTTAGACCCACTAAAACTTTTACCGAGCTGATGAGAGCCTCTGGCCTTTCATTTGCTGCCCCACACACTTTTTTTCCTTCTTTTTCCAAACAAAGGCAGATAGTACAAGTAAAATTTTTATCGAGAGGCCCGTCTGGAACAAGGAAAATATGGAACCTCTCTGAGTTTAACGTGTTTGATGGGAGATTGTCATGCTAAGTTCTGTTTGTGTCACAGCCTGAGCTCTTACATAAGGACATAGGTACACTTTCCTGAGAAAAGGGTTGTTTTCAGGTTTTTATTATTGACCAATCTGCCCTCAACAGGGTTCATATTCAAATAATTGGATTTTACATAGCAAAATCATGGATTTTGGAGCTTTTTTTCCATGTAAAAAATTGTAAATATCAGCTGATGTAATTAGCAAGCATCACTATTGGGACTATCGTGGCTAAACTGTGCTTTTTGTAATCATCATTTGTAAAATAAATGGTAAATATCTCTAACTGAGTCATCAGATAACACTAGTCTCATTCCATGCTGCCTTTTTTTGGTAGGAAGGAGTGGAACATTTATACAGTGTTGGAGAGAAAATCCCTAAAGGGGCGAATGAACTGCTTATTCAATTATGTTCAATAAGTGAACTGTTGAGAGGCTTTTAAGTCCCACACAGACGAGTTTCCTGCCAGCTCTCAGCGGCGTTCTTTTTGGTGTCTGTTTGTCAGATTCTGGAGAAGGGGGAGCCAGAATAGTAGCACTAAACCGTAAACTCGATAGTTATTATATAATCAGAATCAGCCAATGGAAGCTGATTTTATAGCCTTCACATTTCAAAATTGGTGATCAGTGCCCATTCCAGATGTAACTGTTAATTTTTTTGTGTCTTGTGGGGGATAAGCGGTTCAGAAAATGGATGGATGGATGGATGGATGGATGGATGGATGGATGGATGGATGGATGGATGGATGGATGGATGGATGGATGGATGACAGTGGTATACAAGCCTTCTTTTGTCTCTCACTGGATCAGACTACAACTATATGTGGGTGAGGGTCGAGATGAGTGTCAGCTCTAAAATGCTTTTCACCTTTAACCCTTTAAAGCCTGATCCAAGAATAAAACAAAACATAAACTTACTTTTTTTTAACAAAATATGTAAAAAGAAAAAACAAAAATTAATTTTTAATATTAATAATTTATTACTCTGCGATAAGTCAAGATTATTTTTTCGTGTAGTCTTCTGCCCCCTGTTATCAGGTGTATCTTGTGTACAATAGGATTTTGAGCAAAGTTTTTACCATTAAATCAAGCAAAAGGTGTCAGAGGCAAAACATTTCAGAATCCGTATGTATCAAATATTATACGTTTGGCATTACAGGGTTTAGGAATTTACTTTGAGGACTTGAAGTGGTTTCCAAAAAAAGTTTCCAAAAACAATGATAATTTAAGATGAAATGTTCTGTTCCCTTGTGATGAACTAGGAACCTGTCCTCCACCCATTGGGCTTCCAAAGGGGAAGCCATGGTTCGGTTATTTGGTGTATGTAACTACTACTTGAAGTCTTTCCCTTGACCTCACAGCATGTCCATATAAAGATCTTCTAAAGCCCAAACCAGCCTACGAACGAATACCTCAGCAATCACCAAACGGTGTTCCCTTTCTCATTCAGTCAAATGTGGATGTTCCATTATTTTTCTGTGCCACAGACGAGCTAATAAAACCGAAAAACTGATAAAAAAAACCTGATATGAGGTGGGAAGGAGCTCGGTGAGACGTGGAGTCTTAATCAGATACTAGACCCTCACCTCTCTCACTGACTGGCTGATCCTCTCAAAAACCCAATTTTCCAAGTGATTAATCTGCCATCGCACCTCCTCAGCCACCTGCATCGGGGTTTTTTTTTCACCTCGCCGCTCTCCTACCTGCGTGTGCGACAACTTCAGCTCCGCTAAAGAAAACGTGTTGAGAACGTTTTCTGGGTGCGAAATAGGTAAGTAACCAGTGTCTATGCATCGGTTGTTCTTGGATTTCTAGTTCCAACATGCACCTGGTCGTGATTTGTTCATGCCACCACAAGCAGGCGTCTGAACAGTGGTGGAGAAAGTACTCATACTCATACTTAAGTAAAAGTACAAATACACAGACAAAAATGTACTCAAGTAAAAGTCAAAGTACCACATTATTATTTTACTTAAGTAAAGGTAAGAAAGTACAAGCTTTTAGAACTACTTAAGTATTAAAAGTAAAAGTACTTGCCAACCATAATACCTAACGGCTTATATAATGTCATTAAGTGTACCTATCGTATTTAGTTTGAATAAATCAGTAATGTACCATTTTAATGAGCAATGCTGCGACAGTGACAGTTTAGTTTTAGATATTTTATGCAGGTCCTGCGTACTTTGCTGCTCTTCTTGAGGGAGGGCCTAATGGTTATTTCCCGCTTTGGATTGGTTCAGCGGACTGATTCTGCTCTGGCCATTGGATACTTTCAAACTAACGAACAAATAAAAAAAAACGAAATGCGTCTTGGATGTAACGAGTAACGAAACGCTGTATAGAAATGTAGTGAAGTAGAAAGTACAGATACTTACTGTTAAATGTAGTGGAGTAAAAGTAGAAAGTATCCATTATTAAATCTACTTAAGTAAAGTACAGATACACGGAAATTGTACTTAAGTACAGTAACAAAGTACTTGTACTTCGTTACTTCCCACCACTGCGTCTGAACACGATAAATGTGTAATACGGTAAACTCTGCTTAGTTAAACCAGCCTCCCGTAAGTCTACCATGACTGTGCACGTGAGAGTGAAGCACCAACCTCATTCCGTAAAAGGTTTACGTACGGCGTGATGCATTTTTAACTTTCAGAAATGATACGGGCTGTTTTTTTTTCTCTGATCAAACCACCGAGCGGAGCGAAAAGGTTCTGCTTCCAAAGCCCCATGAGCAGCTTCAGCTCGGATTTTTCTCCGTCTGATGCATTGTGGGTAGTCGCATTCCCGCTCAAGTTTGTTGACTGATGTAACACTTTCTGCGGCCATGACATCAATCTTCACATCTTCCTTGATACAATGGTCTCTTCGTCACGATTTCGTCTTTGTATTTTGCTCATGCAAAGCAGGGGGAAATCACCCTTCTACTTCCAGTATACACTTTTGTGTAAATTGCATCGTTTTTGTCCGACAATTTCCGATGCATAATCAGCCTCACGTCTGCACTTTCCCTCCACTTTTCTCTTTGCTCTCAATCAGCCGAGCAGAGCTACTAAAAACCATAGTGATAGGTGCCTGATTGCAGCTTCGCTATGCATGAACCTGGGACAAAGTTACCTTAAGCTCATCAGATCGCTTACAGAAAAAGGTGTTTTTTTTTTTTTTTTTGTCACTGAAAGTGTTTAAAAATGAAGTCAGTTATTTTTCAGTCAGACAGGAAGACACGCTGACTTGGAAGATACCGCGTTAGAAACGAATCAAGAATCGATACGAGCCACGGAAAATCACTCAGTGGAAGAATAAAAGAAAAAATATCGTTTCAAAGCAAAAGTCAAATTATTTTTCTCTGTGGGGCCGAGAACAGTTCCAGGAGGGACGGATCAATACGAGGCCTCGCGGAGCGGGCCGTGAGCTGTGATTCAAGAGCTGTGAAAAATGATCAGGAGACGAGGCGGAATCCACAGAAAAACCAAATATTTCACACGGTTTTTCACACAGGCAGACGAGGAGACACCCTGATGGTAATTGACAGCTCTGTGAATCCGGTCTGGTGTCTGGTGTCTCTCAGAAACAAACATTTTCTGTGACAAAAGATGGACGGAGTCACCGGCGTGTGTCAAAAATGAGCTCAAACAGCCCTCTGTAACTCTGTAACCTCTTTCCAGATGGAGGAACGGGTGAATAAAACCATGTCCAGTCCTCTGACGTTGCTAAATATCTGCTTTAAAATGCATTGTATGTTTAGTATTCTGTGCCACTGTTACAAAAACACATCTGCACTTTTCTACAGTAGGAATCAACCCAGATCTAAATGAATTTTCTGCTTTTGGCTACCTGCCTTACGTAAAGCAACCATTTATTTTCATTATGGGAACTTGCTCTTTGCACTATAAAGAAGGGAGGTCCCCCATGTGTCTTTGTAAAGAGAATTATGTACATAAACGCGAAAAAAAGGAAACCAAACTTCAGATTTTCAGCCATATGTGTGTATGTGTGCGTGTGTGTGCGTGTGTGTGTGTGGCCTCTCCGATGTTGTGCGGACCCATAAATTATGAAGCAGAGACACAGTCAGGGTTGCCCTTGAAGAGAAAACAAACAACAACCTTTGTGCGCAGAATAGCAAACAAGGCTAAAATGTTGCTCACTTGTGCAATTTACAAGACAGAGGAAATAAATTGGAAAACTCTCACTGAGGTGCAGGTTTTTTTTTACTTGTTGTTTTGGAGCATTTCGCTGAAAATCGGACACAAAAGCGTCAGTAAACGCACCAGCTATTGGTCACACTCCGCCACTCAACAAAATAAAAAGACAATTGGGGAAAAAACAAAAATCTTATCCATAAGATAGAATCATCTTTCCAGTAAGATCTGACTTAGACCTTATATTGATACTCTAGTTTTTTTTTTTTACTCCAAATGCTTTTTAAGCACACATTGATCACTTATCAACTTTTCTCTGTGTCTCTAAAAATATTCCAAGTGTTAATGAAGAGACAAAGAGTGTTTTTTGCTGCTGCGGTTCCATTCGTCAAGTCCTGGCGACTGTAAATTAGCATGAAGCTCTTCTTCAGCGGTTCGGAATAGAGTCACAACAGAGAGCGATCTGAACGTGAGACAGGTGAAAAAAAGGAGAAAAAGAGGTATTCGACAATGAAACCGACCCAACAGGAGGATTACCTGAATCGTTACAAATAAGTCTTTCAGGCGTGTGATGAATTTGAAGAGCTTTCTCAGTTAATTTTCGTAAACAATTCGATGCAAATGACCCAAAATCCATCTCAATCACAATTTAACTTTATCTGACTGCATGTTTTAGGTTAAGTATCAAAAGTGAGATGTTTAAGTGTTAAAATTGTGGCCCTGAGACCTAATTTAACCCCAAAATATCCTTATTTTGAATGACTGACTGCCATGTCTCTCACTCTGCGCTGAACACACACACCCTGCAGTAAATAAATGGAAAGTTTTGACATTTTAAAGTAAGTTTGCTCACTCATCCAAAACTCGATTCATTTCTGGGCAGCATTTTTCTTATCTGTACGGTCTCTTTTCCTACGCTGTGCATCGGTCCTTACTGCATGTTTTTTTTTTATATCTTTTACTTTAATCTGAAAGCTTCCATTTGCCTGTCACTCTGCAGCTGAACTTTTCCAGAAAGGGACGAAGGATTAGAATTAGAATGAGCGAAAGAGCATGACTTTTAACTACCCTAACTGCTCCTCACGTCATGTTTGGTAAGCATAAAGATTTATTCTAATCAGCGAGTCACGATCAGATTGATTAATCGACTCTGACTCAGCTAATTTGGATCATTTTGACAAACATTTGGCAGCTAAAGGGGTTAACATTTTAAGAATATTTATTCTGATTGTTGATTGAGGAAGATGGAGGCACCCGTTTTGAAGACCCCCCCACTCACAACCACTCACTTTTCATGTGTGCGTTTCAGAAAAAGCGGGAGTTTAAATGACACGGTGCAATCTGCAAGTCTGAATGTAAAAAAAAAGGAAATAAAAAGAAGATGCAGGTTTGAGTGAATGTTTTCTGAACCCGACTGGAAGAACACAAAGGAGTCGTAAATCAGATTTCTGTGTTGACACTAATGTTTTGCCTTTTGGTGCATCATTTTCAATCTTCTCCTGCACTTCCTTACAAATCTATTCCTCGGTTTGGTAATTAGTGTGATTTCTTGGCAGTGAGACTGTGGAGGCTCGCTACAAACAAAGTGGAAGATGAGGAGATCAAAAGCAGTTTACGATGTAAAAACACATAAGAATGCACACAAACTCAGCTCATAAAGGTGTTTGCAATCCGAGCAGCAGAAGCTTGGGAGGTCTCCGGGAGGGCAAGGCAAAGCGGAGGTCAGGTATCTGTGTGTTCCCCGGAGGGAGGGCATCAAAGTTTCTTACAACTTGAGGGGAAAAAAAACAAAACACAATTCCTGCAGAGGTTTGCTCAAAGCGAGTTCCATTTAAATGCCCAAACACAGATGGCAGAGCTTCACAGAAACATCTCAACTTCAAGTGGAGCGTCTGTGGGAGAACGATTTGCTGCGTCTTTGAGACAGAGGGAGAATTTCCATATTTACCAGCGTGTGTATGAGTGCGAGTGCACGTAAATATCACAGCCGAAACGGCCTTTTTTTTTTTCCTCTGGCTGAGTTGAAACAGAGGTCTCTGGGCTGGTATTAAAGCTTAATGCTGCAGACTTGTCTGCTTCAGATTATTAATACACACTCGGGATAGCTCCCATACCCACACACACAGGCCAGGATGCCGGGCAACAGTTACGTAAAAGGAAAGCGAAAC